GACGCACAACTCTCCAGGAGAGCAGCCACACAGCCCCTGCAGGGAGCAGGCAGCTGGTGGGTGGGACCTTGGAGCTTGGCACTGCAGCACAGCTGCAGAAGGACAAAGTGCTGGCTTTCCTGTGAACCCAGCGTAACCACTGGAGGAAGGGCGCGCTGCGGCCTGTGGTCAGCGCTCTGAAATGCCTGACGCTGGCCACTGACACAGGCAGCAAAGAGAGGGCAGAAAGAGGGAAGAGAGAAAAAGTGATTCAGAGCATCTGAATTAAACTCCTGATACCATCATCCCAGAGGAGCAGCTTTCTCTCCATTGACTTCTGAAGGAGTCTTGAACTGATGAAGGAAAAGGATGAGCAAGATTAGCAATACAAATCAGAGACTGCACAAATGCAAGCCGTGAGCACCGCTCATCGTCGTCCCGCTGTATATGAATGTGAGATTCCCGTCTATGGTGGGATAGAACTAGCCTGGCATTGCTGCACTGGTAGTGTACTTCATCCCTCCTGTTGGTCAGAGATACACTAAATGGCCATACAACAGTTTCTCTTAATCATCTGAAGTGCTTTAGTTTTTCTTAATCTCCTAAGTTCTTGCCATCTTCATACTTCTGATTTTCAAGCATTCGTAAAGATAGTAATTTTTTTTTTGGCGGGGTTGGATTAGATGATCTCCAGAGATCTGTTCCAGCCTCAACTATTCTGTGATCCTTTTGATTCAGCTTAAATGCTGCTGTTTGATTGCATCAGACTCTGTCCTGGCACTGAGCTGTCATGCTGAGAATTTTACCAAATTCATCCTTTCTGATGCATCTTGTGGAAAACCTGGCAGCGAGGTTAGGCCTTTAGGTGCAGTCTCGCAGTGATGTACTGCTTCTGTACAGACAAAAAGCTTTAGAAAAACAATGAGCACAAAGTATGGAAAGGAAGAAAAACCCCTTCCCTCAGCGTTTCTTGTTGAGCCTGAGGTTCTTTGGCATGGAATAGCCCTTTGGCCAGTCTGGGTTAGCTGTATCCCCTCCTGCCTTCTCACCCACCCCCGCCTACCTGGGGCAGAGGGAGAGAAAGGGACAGGACGGCCTTGACACTCTGCAAGCCCTGCTCGGCAATAGCCACAACAGTGCTGCGCTATCAGCCCCAGCTTAGCGGCAAATCCAAAACAGCCCCATACAGGCTGCTGTGAAGAATGTTAACTCCAGCCTGTGCAGCCACTGCACAAAGAAAATTCATTTTGATTTGGAAAATACTGCTTGATTAGAAAGGGCAGTTGGGAAACAGCAAGAATGACCTCGAACTAGAAGAACTAACATGTCTGTTCAACTTGGTGATATTATGTGAGCGCTTCAGCGTAGAAAAGGTTGCAGTAGCTCTGCTGTTCTGCACAGTAAAACTTCTGAGTGCAGTAGACTGAAAGTCATCCAGAAACATCTACAAATCAGAATTTTGATCCGCACCTTAGCACTGGTAACTCGTAATTAAAGGCGTAAGGCTGAAGGACCAGCGGCCAGCTCTCAGCTCCCGGTGCGTGGGGCCGTCGGAGGCAGCTGAAGAGTTCCCTCCTTGACCTCCTTCTGCCCTGGCTTCGTAGTCGTTGATGGGAGACCTGCTGTCTCCACTTCTGGGGAAGGGCTAAGGGTGGATGGATCACTGCGGGTGGGTTTTTTTTTTTTCCCTGTGGCTGGAGAGAACAGAGGGGAGAAGCCAGATTACAAACCAGGAGTGCTACAATGCCAGTCCTGGCGCTGAATTCGTTAGCTCACAAAAAGGGCATTTTGGATACGAGGTTTCCTGCCCGGCAGCCAACGGGGAAGGGCAGAGGGGCAGACAGAGCACCACGCAGCCAGCCGGCACCCCTGCGCAGCCGCCTGGACCTCTTGAGCTGCTTCAGGAGGCAGAAGCTGCGCTCAGCTGACCCCACCACTGCCCACAGTGCCAGCCCAGGGTCCTTCTCATCTCTGTGGCAGCTCAGGCGCCGCAACGGGGAGCTGCGTAGGGGGTGAGGAATGTGCTCCGTCACCCGCCAGGCCTGGGAGCCAGCACGGCTTTGCCATCATCAGCGAAATCACTTATCTCTCATTGCTTCAGCTTCTCCACCTGAAAAATGGTAAAAGTATTCATCTTTCTTTGTGCAACCTTTTTATTTTCAAAGAAAAAAGGAAGCTATTTAAATATCAATATAACTATTGTTCTGCTGTATTAAATGTCAACTTCTTTTTCTAAAAATCAACTCCAGAATAGCAAACACATGAAATAAGCTTTGTAGGTCAGCTTAGCCTACTAAAAATGTTTCTGCTTATACTTGCACAAAGTATTCCCCCCTCTGGGTTTGCCGGCTGAACGCGCAGGCTTAGCAAGAGCTCTGCAATGCTGCAGAGCTGTCCCTGCCCAGCCAAAACAGCAGCGGGGGAGGAAAGGAACAGAACACAGCTTCAGATTTTTTGCATCCTTTGGCTACAGAGGCAGCTCAGCATGACTCTTCCCCTTGGGTTTCTGCTCTTCCGTTCATCAGGCAGTTGCTGTAAAAACTGCATGACTGGTTACTTGTTACGCACAGAAGAGGAGGCAGTCTGTACTCCTGTCTGTCTGGATTTACGTCCTGTGATCTATGAGCCATGGTATAAATGTCCATGGCACAGAAGTGTCCCACATCACAGGGCAGCTGCGTCCATCAGCTGTAAGGCTGATTTTGGCATGGGGGAGAACAGAGGTGCTAAGGAGGGGGCGAAGGGACCAAATGCAACAGTTTTATACAGTTGAGAGCAACTAAGAATTGCCACTGCGCACAGAAAAACCTCCCACTGGAACAGCACGAAGCACAGAGCCAAATGAATAGGTCCAGAGGAGGGCCACGAAGATGATCCGAGGGCTGGAGTACCTCTGCTATGAGGACAGGCTAAGGCAGTTGGGGCTGTTCAGCCTGGAGAAGAGAAGGCTGCGGGGTGACCTTCTAGCAGCCTTCCAGTACCTGATGAGGCCTGCAGGAAGGATGGAGAGGGGCTTTTCACAAGGGTGTGTAGTGATAGGACAAGGGGGAATGGCTGTAAACTAAAAGAGGGGAGATTTAGATTAGATGTTAGGAAGAAATTCTGCACCATGAGGGTGGTGAGGCACTGGCACAGGTTGCCCAGAAAAGCTGTGGATGCCCCCTCCCTGGAAGTGTTCAAGGCCAGGCTGGATGGAGCTCTGAGCAACCTGGTCTAGTGGAAGGTGTACCTGCCCATGGCAGGGGGGTTGGAACCAGATGGACTTCGGGGTCCCTTCCAACTCAAACCAGTCTATGATGCCATGATTCCATGAAAGGAAGGTGTAACGTAGGTACTGGCTGCGTGATTTAGCTCAGAGCCTGGACTGAGTGATCTCACACTGGATGTGGCCGCACTGTGAAACCCTTCTTTGTAAGGACTCCGAAACATCAGAGAAAGCACCATGTTTATCAGAGATCCTAGTTAGTCACAAATCCTTATTTGGCATCGGTTTCTCCAGGTCGAAGGGAAGGCAGAATGAGTGTTTACATTCAAAGCATCATCTATTTACAGTGGCAGCAAGGAGGACAAACTGATTATTAGTACAGATGGATAAGCAGTAGCCCAACTGTTCTCCCTGTTTTTCCACAGCTTGTATGTTGAGGAAGACTTAGAGGAGCACAATTCAACCTGAGCTAATACCAAGCCTGCACGGGGGTGGGGGAAGAATTTATGAGAGTACACTTAAACTCACAGTGTAAGACAGTGGTCTCTTTGGAAAAGAGAAACCTTTGCATTAAACCAAACTTTTCCCAAGATTTCAGGTATCTGAAGCAGTAACAGAGTCCTTCAGCAAGAGGTTCAGAAAGCTAAGTAATAGCTAACTACGGAACAACTTTTTTGCCGACGTGGGAATATTGGCAACCAACTTTCCCCTGAAACCTCAACTGAAGCACTATCAGCAAGTAACTTGCAAGCAAGTCAGCTCCCATCCTCCTCCCACAGCCTCTATCATCTCTCACACAAGCTCAGAGAGCCTGTTCCTTGAAGAGCAACTTTCAGCGCAAAGATTTTCAAAGACCATGGAAGCAAAGGAAATGGTACAAGACCAGAGCGGGACGGGGAGAATCCCACCGACCACCGCGAACCAACAGGTACCCCACCTGCACGCTTCTCACGCACAGAGACTCTGCTGGGAGTACACAGATAAACAGACGACGAACCTGGATTTGAGCACTGGGGCAGTTTAAGGTTCACGCTGATTTGGCTAACTGGCCTCACCCGGGTCAGCTGGCTTACAAGCTGCATCCATGTCTTTAGTAAATATTTACACATGTTGTACACAAACATACTGAACCTGAATAAACTTCACCACCGTGTTTTTAAAGTGCAAATATATATAGTCTCCCTTAATTCTGCTCTTATGTATTAAAGAAAAAAACAAAAAACAACACCACACTCAATTGCTTATCCCAAGCCTTCATAAATTCTCTAAAAATAGATAATCAACCCGAAGGTTCACAAGAAATGAACTGCTTAATTAAATGAAACATAGCTTAAAACAAGCAACACTGAATCTATTCCTCCATTAAAGAGGACTAAAAGTCCCTGCATAGAGAAAGCAGTAAATATATGTTAGAAGTACTATTAGTTAAGACATCAGACAAAAACAGACCAGATTCCTGACTTGCTATTTTTGTCTTCACATAACAACTCCATTTGGATGTTCAAAATTCAGCCTGCCTCAACATAAAATATTGCTTTCTACTTGCAGTGTGGTATGGATAAAGGAAAGGCTTTCAGTTTCGAAACATTTAAATTACTGATGTGTGCGGACCACAGATTGTCACCGCTTTGTTCCAATGACCTGTGATGGCTCCAAATTAAGCACAGCTGAAGACTGCTGCAGATGCATCCAAATGCAGGGTTGTTTCAATAACTTAATAGCACTTTGATGTTTGCCTTGCTGAATTCTTCACTGCTGAAGGAGGACCAGAGTCTTCACTTTACCGCAAAAAAACCACACAAGGCAGTTAGGAAGATCATGTAACACAGAGCTCTGAAGCCCACAGTGGAGGTTTACTGCAGTATGGCAGTCTGCTTCTGGTCTCCTGAGCACAAGCAGCTGCTGGAGCAGATGCTCCCTCCTCTTCTGCATCTTCCTTCACCTCCCCAAAGCCTTCTGCTTCCTGGAATGGATTCTCCAACAGTTTCAGTACATTTCTCACCTAGAGAGAAAACAGTGTAGTTACGAGAATTTAGAAAGTAAAGGCAAAATGAGGTAGAGAAGAACCTCACACCAAATAATGATCGAATATATTATATTTACTACACGAACTTCAGACAAGCCAAATCTTAAATAGATGAACAATATGCATATCAAATAAACCAAAAACTGTTTGTATGCAACTCAAGCTCAAATAACTTGAAATGCAAGTCTCAAAGTTCTTACATCATTTCTCAAAACAAATTAGTTTTCCCATATTCTGCATGTACCAATCCACATACTGAACTCCATGGGTAAAAGCCAAGGCTTTTAAAAGACAACAGCACCGCAAGGAACAAGTATAAATTCATCCCCAGCTGCCTCCCACAGTAAATGCCATTCAGAAGGCAGTAAAAGCAGGGTAAGCGTCTTGTCCTGGGCTCAGCCTACAAAAGCTGGTCAAGTTCAGGTTCAGATTTTCAATTCCTTTCTTTGTTCCGCAGTCATTAAAACCACAGCTCCCTCGAAAATAGTACAGACCTACCGAACAGCCTCTAACTGCCCGAGACACCAGAGCGAATCTCGCCTGGCATAACGTCACTCAACAGCACCACTACACGTCCACGCAGACCTAGAGAGATAAGCAGTAACAGCGTACCTCTGAGAAATCCCCGTTTTCAGCTGCTTCTATGGCATTCTGGGCAATATAATTTCTCAAGATGTATTTTGGATTGTTTGAATTCATGACCTTCACACGATCAGTATTCCAGGCATCAGCACCACTAACACTTTCTACTTCTTTTTGCAAACGGACTCTGAAATTCACCAAGTGAAAGCAACTGGTTTGGTTCAAGAAACACATGTAAAAGTTGACCCGTTGCCTTGCCTTGAGATCCTTAGTTTGCAGTTCTTAATAAATATTACATCATCTATAATCCTCTCAGTTTATGAAAGCCAGTACAACAACAGATTACAAAACACCACTTCATTTAAAGGCAGCATTACAGACCATCAGCAGGTCCTGACGAGGCGCAAGGAAGCGGCACACCTTGCATATTCTGTGAAAAGTCAGCTTCCGACACCAGCACGACCACCCCCTCCCCACTGGTGCACGCTCTGTCCTATGTCGCTCTGCAAAAACCTTCACATTCAGAACTTGGCTCAAGTATTTCCACCTGCTTTGGCAGGGGGGGTGGACTAGATATCTCCAGAGGTCCCTTCCAACACCCACCATTCTGTGCAATTTCTACACTTGTTCCCTGATAAAAGTAAAGGAATTCAATACAGCTGAGACAGTTTGATTGAGGACAAGACCACAGGCAGCCAGGTGAGGAGAGGAGTCCTAACATAACCCCTGCAGCAGAAACAACAAATGTACTGCTAAGGGGTTTTCTTCATAGAAAGTCTCCTGCTAACACTGAATTTTTAGGATTTTAAGTTATGCCTGTTAGAATAGTCTGGACATATTTTTTTTCTGGCCATGACTTTTACAGTTACTGATTGATTAAGAATACTTCTACTTCATTTCTATATTAATACATAGATTTTTCTTTCAGAAAAAAAAAAGAAGGAAAATGATAGAATACTTAAGAGATCAGTTAACTGTAGTTACTGAGCACTTAACAGCTCACAGATTAAATCAGTCTCTGTTAGAATCAACCTCAACATTCTTGACGCACTTTCAACAGCAGGTTTGATGCAAGGTGGTTTCTATACCCCCACCTCTGCCCAAAATCTAGTAACCAAAACACACAGATGCCCTTGAACTTTCACAGCAGCACAGATACTGATCTTGGAGTAGTTAATACCCGAGCTGCACACCCCTCAGACCCCTCCCAACCTGTACGCTTGGAGACAGGGTGTCTTTTGTGAGACAGACACACTGTTCTCAAATAAAATGCAGAACAAATACGCCGCTCTGAATACTGCGAAACCTCACCTGTATTTCTCCAGCCATTCTTTCCAGTGTCTTTTATTTCTGCTTAGTAAATCAGCTTCTGTTAACTGCTGCAGTTTAGAGAATTGTTCAATGCGTTCTAATTCTTTATTTATATTCGCTTTTGTTCCAATTAGTGCAAACAGCTGAGGATTAGACTGAGCCAACATTAGCATCATTGACAATTGTCTGGGAACAAGAGAAACAAACGCATTAAAGCTGAGATGCCTGTCAAGAAGCATCTTTTTGCAACCATAAAGTAGATATGAAAACATTCACAACAACCTGTGATTTCACTACGGAGGTTAAACAACAGTTCTTCATAATTAACAGATCAAGTTTATAATAAATTATACTAATTTTACTGTTCCTTCTCCCTTCTTCAGTGTGCTTAACTCACATTCCCGCGGTACATGAAGTGCAGACAGCAGATTTTCAGAATTACCCGTTGGGTTTAGATGTGCAATTCTCATCAAAAAACCCTTGCCACTTTGAACGGAATTTGATCTTACTTAGGTACCAAGGTAACACAGAATCCATAGGACTGTTTTTTTTAAATTTCTTTTCCTAACCCTAATACTGTAACAGCACGAAGAATAAGGATCTAACACCTACTAACCTTAACAGTACTAAGAAAAAACTAAATCAAATGGGGAAAGATACTTCATTTAATTTATATGAGATGAGTTTATTTATGTTTTTTATTTAGCCAGTCTAAATCACAGAATGAGAACTGCTTTGTGGTAGTGAAGTCCTAACAATACCCAGGTTATTTTGCTGCAAATTTGACTAGGATTGTATCTTTCTACATTTGACTCTGTTAGCTAGTGTTGTACAATAGCTTCACCTTATTTTCGACACCATGTCAGCAAACTTTTATTTTTCCTGGATTAATATCTCCATTAGAGCAAAAAGTAAAATAAAAAAACAGAGCATTAAGTTGCAGCATATCAAAGCACACTAAATATTTTTATTTCTTTTTATGAAAGCATTTATAAACAAAGGAGAAATGTAACATTACTCCCTGGCCTCAAAACAGACAAGTCATTATATCAGATTGTATTTTCCTACTTTTAATAAGCAGAGAGAAGCCATTTGCTTTGATATTTGAGTTTATATAAACTCAAAAGTACTATCCAAATCTGATTTGCACATCTGATGTGCCCAGCTCTATGATATCCAAGTGCTGTGACAGAAATCAGTTATGTACTCACTTTAACACAGTACTATGGCCCTCCAAAGCTTTATATCCATATGATGATTTATAGCTCCCTTTACGTTCCTCTAAGCCTGAAACTAATGTTTAAAACAATATTGTCTCATCTATCACACGACCTATCTTCATATTGCATGATATCTGTTTACAATTTCCGAGTAGCTGAAACCTGGAACTTAAATTAAATACTAAAAAATGTTTAATTAAACAAGCACCATACACCACCTTAATTTAGTTCCCTTTCATTTTAGTGTATCATTACTAAAACTTAAACAACCAGAAATATCTCCAAAATGATAAATGACTACAGCCAGCCACCTTGGCGTAACACCGCACTTGTCTGAACAAGTTGCACTCCAAACCATCTTCTCAACTCTCCGCTTTCCTCAAGTTAACTGCGATATCAACACACAGAAAAAGCTGAAAAATTTGGTATGTTTGTTACCTTCATGAAACACTTACTAACTTGGGAACACAACACCGTACCCAAAAAATCCCTACTTTAATTTTGTCCCCCACCTGGCAAGATGCTAGGAAAAAAAAATGACAAATTCAGGGGTTGCACTCATTCCCTGTTTTCCACTGCTCCAAAAAGTGAGAACCGCTGCAATCGCTGTTATGAGCAGCTGTTGAACAAACCTTACCATTTTTCCACGCCCAGAGCAGCTGGGCTGTGGAACATAACCCATCAAATGGGACATGGCCAGCGCCACATGGTTTTCAGAGCCTGAAGCACGCATTTAGGCTATCCTTAGCCCAGAAGGCGGTGATTATTTGCTGACAGTACACTGGCAGAACACAGTAAATCCATTTTTTCTACAAAATACTTCTGTATCACTTTGCTAATGGGCACTCTCGTTGCCTGAGTCAGCAGAGTCAGTGGAGGGTGTGGGGTGTGGGGTGTGGAAAGGACCAAACAAAGACAACTTTCACCCAAGAGCCAACTGCTGCAAGTCACTGCTGAGAATTCACCGGTCACAAAACACACAAGAATCTGCACTGCTCTAGACCGTGCTGTGTCTACTAACAGTGAAATTTCCAAATTTAGTCAAATATTAAACAGCACGCAGTTCATTGCGGCTCTGCTGAAACTAAAAGCACAGGTGAAAAGCATTTAAGTAGAGTATTTACCTTGGATCCATCTGCGGTTTGAAAGCGACTTTCAGCTCCTCCACAGAAGCACACTGACTTGTAAGGTTTTCTAAGAAATCTTCCAGTCCTGAAGGATCACAGTCTACTGAGAACGAACTCAGCAAGTAGAAAATATTAGTGAAGTCTCCACCTGAAAAAGTAAACTCCATGAGTAACGCAACCAATAAATCAGCGGGAAAACCGGCCCCCTACTTTCCTCCCCAGGCACCAGGCCCCGCAGCAGTGCAGGTCGCCTCTCTGAAGCGGCAAACCAGCCGCTCCCTCAGCGTGGGCGCAAGCGCGAGGCACGCTGCCCGCCATCACAGCCACAACTGCCCCACAGTTCACAAGGCGGTGATTATTTTTCAGCCCTTTGTTCTTCGCTCGGACGACAGCGTGCTTGCACAAGGCTGCTTTCTTGTAAGGTCAAGACAAAAAAATAGATTTTGGTTTGACTGTAAGATACTGACGGGCTATTAAATAACCACCCACCGTGCTTCTCACCAACCTGTGAGATGCATGGTTTCAAGAAGTTCAGACACCAGCTTACTATCTTCTTCTAATTCCAGCTGGATTAGGCCTAATTTCTTCCTCATCTTCTGCAAATAATGTTTCTCAAATTCTGCATCATATTCCTCTTCCAGGATGAGTTCACTGATTTCCAAGGGCAGCTCTGGAACTAGAGCTTCAGCGAGCTTCCCCAGGTTCCACTTGCAAATCTCTGGCTGCTTGTTGTAAGCATAGCGCCCTGTATTATCAGAACCATTGCAAATGTGCTCAGGGTCGTATCTACAAATGAAGAAACAATTAGCATTCTTCTATCTATCTGGACACTGATACCATGAAAGCTATTATTTTTATTATCTCGGCCTCTTTTAGGAAACTAAAAAATTCAAAAGGGAATGCTCCTTCTTGATTCCTTTCCCCCAGTTACCTCATTAGGTATTTTCCTGCCCCCTCAAGCACTGAGAAACCCCACAGGCTACGAGAACAGTCTAACAGTTAGAGATGTTGTGAATACAGTTAAAAGGAGCTGAAAAGAAGAATTACAAGACAACTAGAACTACGTTAATCTACTTTGCCATAAAGAGAGTTCATAAATCTACTTTTGAGTTAAAATATTAAAGCAATGGTGAACATCAGGATTGTTTTACACAGCAAATACACGCACGCATTTCAAATAATTACGCCACACTGACCTGTCCATAAATCCGAAAGGGCCGTAGTCAATGGTTAGTCCAACTATACTCATATTATCCGTATTCAGCACGCCGTGGCAAAACCCAACACATTGCCACTCAGCAACCAATCTCGCCGTCCGTTTTGTTATCTAAAAGAGATTTATTTCTTTTTTGCTTTTCACCACAATGTATTCCCAATACAGTCACGTATTTCTAAGCATTTCCTAGGCTGAACTGATCTTCCTACAGCTCTGATGGAAGCAGATCCTAGCAGTGTGCCATACACACACACATCTTAAGGACAGCCTGCCTCCTGTTAGTAACTGCACTGTTTCTCACTCTCCCATTTCTGTTTGCTGCTGCTTCTTTCCTTCCATGCTTGACTTGCAAGTCAACCGGACAGCTTTAAAGCGTACTGGAGACAGAACACTAAACCGTTTGACACCAGACTTGCCTACTGTTCTAGACATTGTACAGATACATTATTTTGCTCACTATCCATTTTAAAGACCCTTTAACTTCAGGCAGCAGAAAACATAAGCAAAGTCTAAGAAATAAAATTAACTGTATGCAAAGTAGCCCAATGTAAAGTTAGTCTTTTGGTTTACCTGGTATGTAGGAGTGATTTACAGGAAGGTAAGCAGTTTACACAAAAAAATATACCCTGCTAAGAAGTTTTAGCACTGATAGGGACTTCTCTCACTTTGCTGAGAGTGGAAAAAAGCTATAAGGTTAAGTAAAAAAATTCCAAGAATGACAATTGTGTTTAAATGCAATTCTTCACTGAATGCATGTTTCACTGGAGTTTTTCAGATGCTTAACTGAGAGTTATTGTTGTGGAATCCTTGACTTTAATCAGTGCATGTACCTCATTCTTGAAATAAATAGCCCAATATTTTAAAATACTTCTAGTTATTTAATTGAATCAGCCCGCCTGTCAACTACAACTAGATATACCCTATGAAATCTAAAATTCAGGAAGCTAACCTGGCCTTTAAATAAACCTAGCTATTTCCAAATACTTTACTGAATTGCTGTAAATAAAAAAAGAAATATGTAGTCGATAGCTAAAACTTTTAAATCAAACAATTTTGATAGTTAAACCACTCATCTTCCAAATAGCTACCAACGTACAGAAATTTAAGGCAACTACTCTCTCCAGCTGCAACGTCAGTGCATGTTAGTAAGGTTTAAAACCCGAGCTAGTTATCAGAGGAGAAGGCACTCCAAGGAGCCACGCATGTCCGAAACTGATTGCTGGCATGCCACACCCCGCGCCATGGCTCTGTCAGGAAGATAGGAAAACGTCAAAAAGCCCTGGCCACCAGCGCTGGGCAGTTGGTGGCTGCTGGATGTCTTTGCGTGGATGCATCACCCACTGCCAGTGTTCCGGGAAACAAAGAAATCCTGCTAATGAGAACGCCTGGAAGCAATTAAAGCTTGGGTGCCACTCGAAGATGGGTCTATCAGTTAGAAAGAGATGGCTCTGCACTCGCTTTGACCTTTAGTCTTTTTGATCACATTTTTCTACTGCTAGCCATACTAGAAAACAAGCATGGTGTATACATAAATCGGAGCACTATCTCAAGGACACGCTTGTTTAAATTTAAACAACGCCTACAAATTATTTGAGAAGTACAGATAATAATGGTGTTTGCTTTCTAGACAGTGCTGTCAAACGCAATCACTTGTACTTTGTTTCCTCCACTTCTTCCACGGTGCAAAAAGAAAGATAAAACACGTTAGAGCTGAGCTGACAGCAGTTCCCCACTACTAAAAAAGATGGACACGTTTGTCAAATTGGGTAAGGGACACGCATACGTCTGCAAAGATCCCCAAGTCCCGTGACTTCTCTGCCACCAGAAAGCAAACGTGCCATCCACCGCAGAGCTGGACGTGCACGTAGTGGGCCACAAGCCACACTTCTCCCCGTCAGCTCCAATCATTCAAAGGCAAAGGCCTGTCCAGTGAAGTTAAACCCTTTGGCAGCCAGTGGTGGACCAAGCCACAGCTCGCTTCTGAAGAGCTAACACAAGAATACACAGGTTGTGTTAAAGAAACAAAACAAAATACCATCACCACAAAACAACCCCAACAAAAATCAAACAAAAAAACCCCAAGAAAACCCCACAAATTTCAAAACCCACAAAATTCACACAGTGTCAGATTTTAACCCTGCCTTTTGACCTCGTATTGGCCTGTTACGAATGTGCATCATGTTGCAGCCATTCCCTCAGTCCCTGCCGGATCATTTCAGATTTCAAAGCACCACAACTACTTTTATGTCGACTAGACAAATGTATTAGAGTGTGGTATTTTCCGTATTAGAGTGTGGTATTTTCCAATTACTCTGTTTACTGGCTAGTAACTTTCTTACTTGGGTTGTAACTATTTAAACTTCAGGTGATGCAAATCGGAGCCTTTATTATGGTTCCCCAGTAATTTCAGAGTGGACCCCTCCTGCAAGGGTAGCATTACTATATACTAATAACTAAAACACAAAGAGAAGCATCTTATTCCCTTATTCCAAATTCTTTGCTCACTGAGACAAAGGAGTATAGTAATAGAAATTCAATGTCAAGAACAGCAACACAGTATCAACAGTGAGGCAGAAGGTATATTCAGGAGTCAAAGTGTAGATTCCAATTCACTCAGCTATGTTTTACTTCAAAGAGAAATACAGCAATTCCACATTTATTAATGTTATAGTTCCAGTTTTTATTGTGGATCTACCGTAACTGTTAAGGTATAAATGTCTACAGTAATTGAAAACGGGTTCAAAACTGGTCTCTGAGAAACCACCCAGCCTCTCCTCTGGGCCACTGCAGAATGACCCGATACTACACCCCGTCCAAGACATTTATCTTGCCTGATCTTACCACTCCCATAGTTGGTGTCTTTGCAACTTCCTTGGGCAAGCCCTCGCAGTGCTTGACTGCCTTTAAACATTTTACTTCTAAAGCCTGACGTTAAACTGATTTGCAGTCAACATTCCCATTTGTAATTTTGAAAATGAGAGACAGGAAGCAACTCAACGTTCTCCATATTTTACAGGACGACGCCTTGCAAGCGATGTCTCGGTACTGTCGGCTCATCGTCTGACCGTCACGGCCAGAATAGCCCCTGGCAGTCTAAGACACTCTTGGCAAACGGAGACAAGTGTCGGGAAGCTCTCCCAGAGCAGAGAAATCGTGATTTACTATTAAAAAGGTTAAACCACTTTCATTTGTTTGATCAATACCGACATTGCTTCCATCAATAAGCACTTCTATTAAGAGTGTTTTCTTCAAAGAACAGAACAGTTCAGGCAACTGGATGACACAAGGTATTAACTGACTCCAGCCATCTATGCTTGCAGATGAAGCTCCTAAAGATGACTGCTACGGATTTACGAAGAGAATCTGAGCTTTCTTACCTCTTTGAAGAATGCAGCATTCCTCTGAATACTGTTGTCTGAATAAGCCTCCTGGATTTCTGGATAGAAAGTGCTGATCACATAATCAAGCATCTGTATTCGAATATCATTTCGGTTAACGCTGGGACCCTTGCGTCCTGTGTACTCATCGGTAGGTTTAAAAATTTCAAAAGAACCAAATCTGTTTTAAAATAATAAAAACGTGTTTTAGTATTACCAGATACTATTAACTTCATTTGGTACTACATGTAGTAAAAACATTTACTGTTGTTGCAACAGCACCACATCATCTCTCGAGTTTAACACCTTCAACTGCCTGAGCGAAGAGACCCGCAAGATTCCCACACGAACCTAGCGAGGCTCAGCGGCTCATCGCAAGCAAGCGCACGCATCCACGCATAACCAAACCGACAGATCAAGACCCCAGCCAGTACTGAAGACCAGCTCATTCAGGTTTCCTACAACCCCTTCTGCAGAAAAACTCTTAACCTGAGTAAATATACAGCAACAGGACTTATTTAAAATACCAGACTGTACATCAAGCATGCAAGACAGATTTTTCCACGTATATACACGTACACACAGGCACGCACACACATGTACACACACATATACATGTGCGTATTCCTTCTAATACCTTACAAGAAGCAATGCAGCCCCCTGAAACTCCTAAGGTCATGTGTCGGTGCAGGAACCTCATACACTTCTCAGGCAGGGAAAGTACACCCAGCCTTCGACAGTACTACATTAGAACAGCTTTGGAATTAAGGGTAGAGCTATAATCCACCACTACTGCAAACATCAGGAAAAAAACATGTAGTCTGTGCAGGCATAAACACGAAAAATCTCTTCTGAGGTCTGCAGAACTTAGATGTTCTACCAGGCTAGCATCCTTAGTGGTTATCTGTCTGGGTGCAAAGACATCCATCCACTGGACAAGAAGAGCAGCTTCCTACAGGCCAGCCAAAGAGTTCCAAGCCTCCAGAACAAGAAAGACTCATGTGGTGCTGTTATGGAAATATACTTAAAATGGTTGGTTTTAAAAGAACAAAAACCGCCAACAAAATATGGTTCTACCTTATGAACGTAGAAGCTATTCTCAGAACAACTGTACACCTTTCACTTTTTGGATTCCCATCATAAAATATGTCACGGACGACTTTCGAGTCGGACGTCACACACGTTCCAGCCCTCGTTGTCGGTATTCCCAGGTGAAACATAGCCTCGCTGCACAGGAACTCCCGTATGCTCGACCGCAGGACTTTCCGACCGTCGGCTTGTCTGCAACAAGAAGACACCAACAGTTTTCAGGCTGTAAAGGCAGGAGGTCCTGCCCCCTCCTTGGTGGTGGGGAAACAAAAGCCAAGTGCCGTGCCCTGTCCACAGTCACCCAACAGAGCAGCGACAGGTCTGAGAACGGAAGTCGGACCTTCAAACTTCTGTTAGAGCTCAATCAGACAGGACACAACACGCTTGCAACAAAGACCACATGCCACAGAAGAAAATAAACCTTCCAGTTACACGTATCCCTTCTAATCACTAACTCTGTTGGTTTTATTGATGCAACAGAGCCTTTCAAAACAGTGAGAAATTTTGGACAAGTATAGCTGTTTTACTACATAAGAAGTCACTGGTCTCCTCTTACTGAAATGGCTACTGTTACGCCTCTTGAAGAATAATAGTGTTTTGCATCTTTCTGAGCCATCTGGCAATGGGGTGTTCAATACGGGCATGCATGGCAGTTGCATAAAACAGAAAACCCTGAACCCACAGCAAACATCAGGCAGACAGAGCAGGCGCGGGAGGCTC